CCCCAAAACCCCAAAACCCCAAAACCCCAAAACCCCAAAACCCCATTTTATTTTAATCCCAAAGGTTTATATAATAATTAAGATGAATAAAAAGACGACTCATAATCCAATTCCAAGTGGGACAAAGACACTCCAGGACATCTTGCCAGAGGCCCAGCACTCAGGAAGAACACCTGGGACAAGGACATTGAAGAAAAAACTCGTTGTACGGGACGCAGCAAGGTAATTGCTCTTCAGTTATATAATCCTAACCCTCATGTAGCGACCGGGAAGCCCTCAACAAGATTGATCAAGATATGAACAAGCTTAAGATAGATGAGCTAGATCTTGATGAAGAGGATGAGAGAGACTCCCTCATCCTCAGACTTCAGGAGGTCAACGAAAAACTCAAGTTCAAGCTCAAAGATCTAGAAGTTATTGTAGAGAAAACTGTAGAGAAAGCCTACCTCACTGGCAAGGAGAAGGACGACGGTGAAGATGAGTCTGTCAAGGAGAAAGACAGACAGATTCGTGAGTACCAAGCTCATATTGAGGTGGCTAAGAAGAACATCAAGAAGCTCAAAAGCAGGCTTAATGCTCTTACGAATATGGACAAAATGACACAAGCTAGTAATGAACTCAGAGATGTACAAAGGAAGAGGAAAGAACTGGAGGACCAAGTCAAGATGCTCCAGAAATACCAGAACAAAGCTTTGAAGAGTAAGGCTCAAGACACTGAGTACGAAGAACAAATTGATAGACTTTCAAAGGAGCTTAATACTCTGAGAGAACACTACAAGAAGATGGCAGTAGAGAACAAGGAAAAGGAGGCTGTTCAGAAGGAACACCACACCAGATTTGTAGATGCTAGAGAGAAGAATTCCAAATTGAAAAGGATCTTGATCGCTGTGAAGAACAACAAAGATCCCTTTGCAGATCTTCACAACCCTGAAGGAGAAGTTGAGAGCAAGAAAAAGGAAGTCGAAGCTTACGAATCAGCTATTAAGGCAGAAGAGAAGAGGCATAAGCTCAAGCTTAAGAAAATGGAGGAAGATCGTCTCAAAGTCGAGACCGAAATCCAGGAGCTTAAGGACCAAATTGAAGAAGCTGAGAAGGAGAATAAAGAGACCGCAGATAAGATCCGTAACAAGAAGAAGCTAGTCATTGTCAAAAGAGAAGCAGCTGAAAAAAACAGGCTGGAAGAAATAAGAAAAGCTGAAGAAGAAAAACAAAGACTTGAAGAGGAAGTGAGAAGAAAGATTGAGGAAGAAAAGGAAAAAGAACTTAAAGAGAAGAGAAAACTTGAGGGAAAAGGTAATATAGAGCTATTTTAGAAGGGTTTAGACCATTTTTAGCTTAATCGTTTCCTCTATGCCAGAGTTTGTACATAGACTATCTCTAAAATTATATTAGGATCAAATAAGGATAGTGACAGTGATGAAGAAAAGAAATCAAAAGATGTACATTTCTATGATAATAAGAAGTCTGATGGAAGTAAATCAAGAGACGGAAGTAAATCAAGAGACGGAAGTAAATCAAGAGATGGAAGTAAATCAAGAGATGGAAAGAAAAAGTCTAAGAAGAAGGACTCTAAGATGTCTAGATCATCTAAAAGATCAAGAGATAGCACTCCTGAAAAAAGATCAAAAAGAAAAAGTATGGGAAATAGTCCAATCCCAGCTTCAAAGAAAGCGAAATAATTTACTAAGAATCATTATCCCAATCACTAATCACCTCAAAGGGGTTTTGGGGTTTTGGGGTTTTGGGG